TTACCCTCACAAGACTTAACACAGAGAGATCAAACATAAGAGTTAAAGTGTCATATGTACTCAGCCACTCATTTAGCTACCCAGGTAAAGAAGTTCAGGTGCACCAGATGCCAATGGCTCACACCCATAATCCTAGCTACTTAGGAGGCTGGGACTTGAGGATCATGGTTCAAAACCAGCTTAGGCAGGAAAGGCCATGAGACTCTTTTTTTTTTTTTTTTTTGGGTCCGGTCGTGGGGCCTGAACTCTGGGCCTGGGCACTGTCCCTCAGCTCTTCAGCTCAAGGCTAGTGCTCTACCACTTGAGCCACAGAGCCACTTCTGGCTTTTTTCTTTTTGCTTATGTGGTGCTGGGAATCGAACCCAGGGCCTTAGGCATGCAAGGCAAGCGCTCTACCACTGAGCCACCTTCCCAGCCTGGGCCATGAGACTCTTATATCCAATAAACTACTCAGAAAAAACCAGAAGTGGCGCTGTGGCTCAAGTGGTAGAGAACTAGCCTTGAGCAAAGGAAGCTCAGGGACAGTGCCCAGTCCCAGAGTTCAAGTCCTAGGACCAGCAAAAAAAAACAAAAAAAAAAGCCAAGAAGGTCAGGTGCTTCATCTGTTGCATAGTTTTACCTCAGGTGGACAGTAGATAGTTATTAGGAACAAAGTAAATGCATATTCATATATTGCATATTTCTGCAGCACAGGATAGTGGGTAAATAGAAGAATGGAAATATAATACCAGGCAAATGCCAACCAACAGAAAACTGGAGTAGATATACCATTATATGAGAGTAACTCTGAACTCTAATTTGTTCACAGCTCACAATGACGAGTTCTTGCATCGAAATTTTTTTTAATTGTCAGATGGTCTTACAAGATGGGGCTTAAAAGGATAATGGAGGGCAGTGTGTCTTCGTGCCTTGGATTCGGTTTCAGTGTGAGCCTGGTGGAAAAGTTCAGCTCTGACCTTGACCTTTATATGTCAACATTGTTCTCAGGGTTTGCACCAAGATTCCCTGGAGTCTGGACTCTGTTCTCAACTCTGCTTCTAAGCAGTTCCTCAGTCTGATCTCAGGTGTTGTCAATACTGGGAATCTGGGGGTTTGGATCAAGGAGAAGAGATGGAGGCTTTTTTTTTTTTTTTTTGCACTCTCCTCCTCTGTACGCTTTGAACTTCCATTCTGGCCACAGGATCTACTACTACTTGAACTTTAACCATACTAAAAGACAGCGTGACTGACCAGTGTATGCTCAGGAGGGACAAAGACACTTTTAACAGGCAAAATCATGCCAGAAGAATGGAAAAACTCTCATGCTGTGGAGTAGGGACCTCAAAACTCTACATCACGAATATCATATCATTTATGAATCAATCATGTCAGTTGTTGACACAATTGATAGGTCCATGTGCCTTCTGTATTATTTCCTCACATTATAAAAAATATGAACATTTTTAAAATTTAAATGAAGTGTGTGTGTGTGTGTGTGTGTGTGTGTGTGTGTGTGTGTGTGTGTGTGTGTGTGTTGATACTGGGGTCTGAACTTTGGATATAGGCTCTACCATTGGAGTCATGATTTTACTCCTGTCATTGTTATTATTATTGTTGTTGTTGTTATTTTGCTGGTTAATTGGAGATGAGTCTTACAGATTTTTCTGTCCAGGCTGACTTCAACCCAAGATTTTCAGATCTGAGCCTCCTGAGTAGCTTGGATTACCGGTGAGAACTACTGGGGTACAGCTTTTATTCAACTAAATAATTGTGTGTGTGTGTGTGTGTGTGTGTGTGTGTGTGTACACTGATTCTGGGGGCTTGAACTCAAGGCTTCTGGCCTTTGTTTGGCTTTTTTGCTCAAAACTGGTACTTTATCACTTGAGCCACAGCTCCACTTTTGGCCTTTAATTGGTTAATTGGAGATTAGAGACTTATGGCCTTTCTGCCCAGGCTGAATTCTGAACTTGGTCCTCAAATCTCAGCCTCCTGGATAGCTAAGATTAAGGCATGAGCCACCAGCTCCTGGTCAACTAATTGTATTAAAACACACACACACACACACACACACACAGACACACACACACACACACACACACACACACACAAAATCCTTTTCTATTTTCATTGGCCTTAACCAATATACGAATACATTTTCAAAGTGGGACTTAGTACGGCTTCTCACTCCTAAAGCACTGTTTTTCTGTCCTTGTTACGGTCATCTAGGAAGTCTTGGCTTTGTTTCCTGTCTGCACGTTAGCAGGGTTACAGTTTTTCTGGTGTTTGGGGGAGAATTGTGACCAGTGTTATAAATAATCCTGCAATTTGCCCAATGGACTGAGTAGACTGGGCACTGCCCATCTTGTCTGCGAGCCTAGGACAATAAATCTTTCCTAACTAGTGTCTCTCTCTCTGTCTCCACTGCGCTCCACTCCAGACACAGTTGTCTCCAGTATCAAAGCCTCTAAGTGCTCACCATAGCCCAAGGCCTTGTGTACTGCTCTGGGTACCCAGAGTGCTTTCAATTTGCCCATTAAATTGCTTTCTGAAAAGGGATACTTCTTGCTTGATCTGTAACTGATACTGAATTGTTTCTCAGCTGTTCAACTGGCAAAAGGACCTTTGGTGGTGGTGTGCACCATCAACCATCCACAACATTGCAGTGTAGAATTCAGTGAAGGTTTTATTGAGCAACTGAGCTTATCTCTAAGTTGGCAGAATGTTGTTGTTGTTGTTTTTGTCATTTTTTCCCCCAGTCTGTGGTTCACACAAGCCTATCAACAGGAATGTGTAATTAATTTTGAAACAAAAAGAAAACTAAACATTGAATGCTGGCGGCTCACACCTGTTACCCCAACTACTTAGGATGCTGAGATCTGAGCACTATGGTTTGAAGCCAGTCTGGGGAGAAAAATCCATGAGATTCCTCTTCTTCTTCCTCTTCTTCCTCTTCTTTGTGGGGCCTGAACTCTGGGCCTGGGCTCTGTCCCTCAGGTCTTCAGCTCTAGGCTACCGCTCTACCACTTGAGCCACAGCACCACTTCCAGCTTTTTCTGCTTATGTGGTGCTGAGGAATAGAACCCAGGGCCTCATGCATGCGAGGCAAGCACTCTACCACTGAGCCACCTTCCCAGCCAACCACCCCCATGAAATTCTTATCTCCAATTAAGCAGAAAAAAAGCCAGAAGTGGAACTATGGCTTATGTGGTAGGGTACCAGCCTTGAGTGAAAAAGCCAGATGACAGTGAGACACCCCACTCTTAGCACAAAACCAAACCAAACACCTTGGAAGTTCAAAGTTGCCTTGAGTCCCAGTAGAAGGCACATTTGCCCCATTATGGTCCCTGTGTCTTATGACCAAGTCTGCAAAATTATTTGTACTGTCATTCCCCTTGGACAGAGTGGATATTCCAAATAAAGCTGTTTAGATAATCATAGTTTTAACAAAGACAATCCCTAACATCTGTAGAGTGCATTCTCCATACTTCTGCCAGGGTTGTTTCACTAAGTTACTAAGACAAGTTCTTAGCGAGTCACTTGCTTGCTTAGAAACCTTTGATGAGTCTCCATTGCCTGTGTGAAGTCCAAACTCCTTAGCACCGCATTTCCAGGGCCTTCCCTGACTTAACCCCAAGGTACCTTTCCTTTTCTTTTCCTGCAGCCTCATGCTGACAGCACAGAGGCCATTCCCTAACCTTTAGCTACTTCATCCTCTAAGGCCTAACTTTTCCGCCAAGCCTCTCCCCCCACCCAGGACAACACCCTCCAAGGCCAGCATTCACATTCCTTTTAAACACCCAGCCAGCGACACAGGCTCAGTTTAAGCAGTTCTATTTTTTTTTCTTTATTTTGTGGCAGCAATGGAGCTTGAACTCAGGACCTGGACTCTGTCCCTTAACCTTTCTGCTCCAGGCTGGCACTTTAACACTTGAGGCAAATCTTCACTTTCAGCTTTTGGGTGGTAAATCAGAAGTAAGAATCTCACAGACTTTCTTGCCTTGACTGGCTTTGAACCATGACCCTCAGATCTCAGCCTCCCAAATAGCTCGGATTACAGGAGTGAGTCACCAGGGCTCAGCTAGAAAGTGCTTATGTTTCTGAATAAATATGAAAATGAAAAAAGCAAAACAAAATAAAGCCAAATCTAGACAGAGACAACAGTAATTTATTTTTAAACCAGACTGTTGTTTTTTAAAAAATACTCATAGCGGGGCTGGGAATGTGGCTCAGTGGTAGAGCGCTTGCCTTGCATGCCTGAAGCCCTGGGTTCGATTCCTCAGCACCACATAAGCAAAAAGACAAAAGCCGGAAGTGGCGCTGTGGCTCAAGTGGTAGAGCGGTAGCCTTGAGCTGAAGGGCTGAGGGACAGTGCCCAGGCCCAGAGTTCAGGCCCCACGACTGGACCCAAAAACAAAACAAAACAAAACAAAAATACTCATAGCTTTATTACTATTGCAGACGGTTTATTATGATTGTAATTATTATTTCTACAGGTAGTTTAACTGTTGAAAGGGAGAAAGGAAGACAAAGACATTTATTTATTATTTATTATCTTTAAATATTTGTTGACTTTCTTATTCCAGGTGATGCAGGAAAAGCAGATTTCCCACTCAGGTCATTTCCCTCAGGAAGCTTAAAGAAAACATACAGATTCCAAAATGAGAAAAAAAAAAACATGGTAAGAGAGATTATATGCTTACGTAGATGTTGGAAATCTGGAGAAAGAGGTGCTAATTCCAAGAGCTAGAGCTTCCCTTATGATTTGCCTTCACCGTACCCGCTAGAGCTTCCCTTATGATTTGCCTTCACCGTACCCCCTGTGCAGCGAGGATTGAACTGGATAATAACTGCCATTAGCATGGGTGGGGCGGGGTGGGGATTCACATGAACTTGCCTTCCACCATGGAAAGGCAAAGAGAGAGTGTCCTGCTTACTTAATCAACCTAACTTGGGCATTCATTGTTTCTTTTTCTTCTACAAAATTGCTCTTTGTGGTTTGTTAGCTTTGAGACAGGAAGTTTTCAGTGTGTGGGGTTAGGCTGCTTCTCCTTCTCATCAGGATTATCGAGCATCCTCAGCCTCTTCTCCAGCCTCTGCTTCCATTCTTCTCGGAGCCTGAGGAGAGGGACACCGTACACACAGCTGGTTAGTGCATTTTGTCTTCTCATGTGTTGGTCAACTGACAAGTTTTCTTTACACACACACACACACACACACACACATTCTGCCACTGGGGCTTGAACTCAGAGCCCCTTTCACTCAAGGCTGGCATTCTACCATGTAAGCTGTACATCCCCACCCAGCTTTGTGCTGGTTCATTGGAGATGAGTCGTACAGACCTTCCTGCTCACCTGGCTTCAAACATTGATCCTCAGACCTCAGCTTCCTGAATAGCTAGATGGAATAACTCCCTGATACTATGAATTCCCTAGAAGAGGTATGAAGAGCATACTTCTTGTATTTGAAACATTGTATAATGACTCAGTTACAGCTGAAGGCAGGTCACTTAGATTTGGCCGTTCTCAAGATTTCTTTTTTAAATGGGGATACTTTTGAAAATAAGTGACCTCGGTACTAGCAGAAAGAAAGGAAGAGAAAAAGAAAGAAAAGAAAGAAGATAGAAGAGAAGAAATGAGACGAGAAGAAAAGAGAATGGAAGAGACATAGAAAAGTGAACAAAATTAAGAGTTACATTGAAATGTTGTATACCTGGCTGGTCCCAAGCCAAACAGGAAGTGTGTCCATAGATCATATCCCTACTGCATCTGGCCTTTCTCAGATTGCCCAGCCAGTTCTATGTAACCAATTCTCACCTTCTTCAGGACACCAACCCACTTACGCTGGTTTGCCAGACTTCACGAAGCCAGCTGGGTTCCTCTCTCTGGGGCTACTCACTTCACCTGTGAGTGATTTCATCTCTAGGACCTCTGCCAGAAACATCAATTAGCAGAGAAAAATGGATTCTCACCAGTGCTGGCTACCTCCTCTGTCAGTGAACACATAGACATGTGCTAAACACACTCCACCCAGCCTTGGCACAGGCTCTTGCTAGCTTAGCTTGGCAGAGGTAAAACAACCACATAATGAAAACATTAAAACATTGCCTTTGCTCTCTTGTTCACAAAGGGGTCACTGCAAAGTTTCAAGGATTTTGTTTATCCTATTTACTCAGAACATTTCTCTCTCTCTGTCTCTCTCTCTTTCTCTGTGTGTGTGTGTATGTGTGTGTGTGTGCACGCGCCAGTGCCAGTAGCAGGGCTTGAATTCAGGACCTGGTTATTGTCCTTTAGCTTTTTCACTCAAGTCTGGCACTCTACCACAGTTCCACTTCGAGCTTTTTGGTGGTTATTTGGAGCTAAGAGTCTCACATATTTTCCTTCCCAGGCTGGCTTTGAATCATGATCCTCAGCTCTCAGCATCCTGAGTAGCTAAGATTACAGGTGTGAACGACCAGCACTTGGCTTAAAAATGTTTATAGGAATTGCTACTGAGTTTATCCCATGTGAATTTTACTTCCCACCCAGCTCAGTATGATTGCACAGATACAGGGACATGGAGTCAGGGTGACCACCTGCCTAGCAGAATCGCAGAACAGGTCAAATCACCCCTCTGCTGAGTGAGCTCTATCCACTTTGGAGATGAAGAACTCCTACAAGCAGCTGAGGGGCTACATTAGAGTTGAGGCGCTGAGCTTGTGAGGGCAGGTTCTGGCCACGTACACACGTGACACAAGTCTTCTACATAGGAAATGTTCCCTTTGGCAGACTCCATAACTAGAACAAGAAGTTCATTGTCAATAAGGAAAGGTCCACATCATCCTTCCCCATCCGCCTTACATGTGTCATCACACACGTAGGAGGGATCTCTTCATTAACTAGCTTTTCCCACTGACAGGTCAGTCTAACCTTGGAATTCAGTATTAATTCATATACCAGGAATGGTAAGAGTGAGGAGGTGAAGGTGACATTTTTATTTTTTTTGGGGGGGAGTCCAGTAGTGGGGCCTGAACTCTGGTCTGGGCGCTGTCCCTCAGCTCTTCAGCTCAAGGCTAGTGCTCTACCACTTGAGCCATAGCACCACTTCCAGCTTTTTTTTTCCTGCTTATATGGTGCTGAGGAATCAAATCCAAGGCCTCATGCATGCAAGGCAAGCAATCTACCACTGAGCCACCTTCCCAGCCCAAAGGTGAGATTTTTTTTTTTAAATAATAGAACGTCCTGTTTGTCTGTGTTCACAAAGGGTTCATCCATATCTGAAGTCACTGGTTCTCAGTAGGCACCACTTTGGCACAAAAAGACAGAATGTGGGGTATGAAGGGAGAATCCTATTGACACCAAAGAGTTGATCATGCTAAGCATCTTCAAGAAGCCAAGACAGCCCTCCACAGCTAAGAGTTATCTGGTCCTACAATGCTGATCAATCCTGTGAGGGCTGGCTGTCCATGTGCTTGAAAAATCCCAGCACAGATGTTTGTAGTACTGAGGATGGAACCCAAAACCTTACACAGTGCTAGGCAAGTGCCCTACCTCTAGTGAGCCATGAACCCCCAGCCCTTTAACTCTTTTGTTGTGGATTATTTATTTTCTAAGATTAGGCTCTAACTGGCCTAAAACTTCCTTTGTCTCTGCCTCCTAAATAATTGCTATGTTTTGTTTCTTTTTTAGAAATTAAAAAATTGTCATTATAAAGGTGATTTAAAGAGTGGTTACAGTTACATAATCAGTCATAAGTAAAGTTCTTTCTGGACAATGTCACCCCTACCTTCCCTCTCTCCCAGTTTTTCCCTCCGATCCCCCACCCAGAAATTCATTTTCAACATAATGTCTAGTGAGTACCATTGCTGAATTTGTTTACCCTTTGCCCCTCTATTTCTTCCCCTTACACTCCCAAAGACATATAAATGAAAGGACAGAACACAGAGGAAAGAAAACAAAAACGACAAAAATTAAAAAAAACCCTGTTTTAATTTCCTGGGGTTCATTTCAATAAATATTATTTTGCATGATCTGGTGTAGATAGGCATTGTGCCTTTCTGTTCCTCTCCTAATAATTGATATTTTTTAAAATTGATCTTGAGTTTAACTCATGAGATTCAAGCATATCTTCAGCCCTTCCCATGCCTGGCTTAACAATTTTTTTTCTGTGCCAGGATTGTTTTATTATTATTATTATTAATTATTTTATTTTGGGTGCTGGTACTGGGTCTTGAATTCAGGGCTTCAACCTCTTGCTTAGATTTTTCACTTATACCTGATGCTCTACCACTGGAGCTAGAGTTCCACGTCTGCCTTTTTGCTGGTTAATTGGAATTAAGAGTCTCATAAACTTTTCTGTCTAGGCTGGCGTCATACCATAATCCTCAGATCTCAGCTTCCTAAGTAACTAGGATTATAGGTATGGGCCACTGGTGGGATTTATATTGTTTTTAAGTATTCTGTATCTCATGATTTGACATTTTATAAAGCTTCCTGGCTGAGGAGACGTTGCCTGTTCACTATGAATTTTCTTAGAGATAGCAAAAGGCTTAGCTGATATAAACAACCCATCTCCCCCTGAAATTCTCCCAAATCTGTTTCCCAACTCCTCTTATTCAATTCCTGCCCTAATGTATCCTGGAGCCAGGTATCTGCATAGAAATCACTAGGATAGCTTGAAGCTTATGGAGTTATTTACACTAGCTGACCTAAAAAGATGTGATGCTGTCTTTCCATGGAAATCAGAAGTGGGGTGTAGACTTTTCCCCTTGTTCCTGTTGCTATCAGTCAGAGGACCTCTTTACACTTGCTCTGTTTCTGGGAAAGCCTACTTAAAAACTTGCAGAGAAACCAGAAGGCTGATGGATCATGTTGTAATCCTAGCTACTCAAGAGGCTAAGATCTGATGATCATGTTTCGAAGCCAGCCCAGGAAGAAAAGTCTGTGAGATTCTTTTTTTTTTTTGATCGGTCGTGGGGCTTGAACTCTGGGCCTGGGTGCTGTCTCTGCACTCTTCAGCTCAAGGCGAGCACTCTACCACTTGAGCCACAGCACCACTTCTGGTTTTCTAGTGGTTTTTATTGGAGATAAGAGTCTCACAGACGTTCCTGCTCGGGCTGGTTTTGAACCGGGATCCTCAGATCTCAGCCTCCTGAGTAGCTAGGATTACAGGTGTGAGCCACCGGTGCCCGGCTTGTAACACTCTTATCTCCACTAAACTAACAAAAAGCCCAGAAGTGGAGCTGTGGCTCAAGTGGTAGAGCATTGCTCTTGAGAAAAAGAAGCTCAGGGACAGTGCCCAGGCCCAGATCAAGCCCTAGGATCAGTACTAAAAAATAAATAAAAAGACAGAAACAATAGTTCCACATACTTTCTCAGGGCGCTTCTCCCCTGGCGATCTTCCTCGAGCTCTCGGTAACAAGTCTGCTTACTGATTTCTTTTTCCCAGAAGCTTTTGAGTTCATCACAGGTCTCACAGCAGAAGACTTCCCGGCGGATGTATTGATTGTTCATCTCTGAAACATGACACAGAAGCAAGTCCTAAGTCCTGTAAATGAGGCCACTCAATCTGGAATGAGTTTGAATCAGATACTGCCATTTACTCGTGTGTGTGTGTGTGTGTGTGTGTGTGAGAGAGAGAGAGAGAGAGAGAGAGAGAGAGAGAGAGAGAGAGAGACAGAGAGACAGAGAGATGCAGAGAGACACAGAGAGAGATAGAAATAGACAGCGAGAGACCATAGACACATGCTCATATTGTGAATTTGGACTGGAAATGAAGGTAATAGTTATATCAAAAAAATATTCTGAAAAAATTTTTAGTGCCAGTCTTGGGGTTTAAACTCAGAGCCTGAGCATTGTCCTTGATCTTGTGTACCCAAGGCTAGTTCTTTTACCATAGCAACATTTCTGGCTTTTTGGTAGTTCATTGGAGATAAGAGTCTCACAGACTTTCCTGCCCAGGTTGGCTTTGAACCACAATCCTCAGATCTCAGCTATCTGAGTAGCTAGGATTACAGACATGAGCCACCAGTGCCCAGCATGAAACTATTTTTAAAATAAAAATAAAAACAGTAACTTTCAGATTATTTGATTCTTTTTTTTTTTTTGTCAGTCATGTAACTTGAACTCTGGGCCTGGGCGCTGTTCCTCAGCTCTTCAGCTCAAGGCTAGTGCTCTGCCACTTGAGCTACAGCGCCACTTCTGGTTTTCTGGTGGTTTATTGGAGATAGAGTTTCGCGGAGTTTCCTGCCTGGGCTGGCTTTGAACCATGATCCTCAGTTCTCAGGCTCCTGAGTAGGTAGGATTACAGGTGTGAGCCACCAGCATTCGACTCAGATTATTTGATTCTATAAGATAGGGCTCTGTCCTTGTCATGATCTCTAAATCATTTTAAAATCCTGTAAGCTATAGAAAAAATTTTAGTAATTCAAATAATTATTGAACATAAAAATTCAAATAAATTTTGTCCATCAGAAAGCAGATATCACTTTTCCATCTAGTTGTAAATTTATTTAGTACATTTGAGTATATAAATGTATATATATATATATATATATATATAGCAAGAACCCATTTCAGGAAAAAAAATATATATATATATATATATATATATTTTTTTTTTTTTTTTTCTGAAATGGGTTCTTGCTATTTTCAACCTCGGTACAAACTCATGAGCTCAAATGGTCCTCCTACCTCAGCCTCCTATGAGGCTGGAACTACAGGCATATGACAACATGTCCAGTTTATCACCAGAAAGCTGGAAGTTGAGCTAGGACTCAAGTGGTAGAGTCCTAGTCTTGGCTATAAAAGCTTAGGGACAGTACTCAGGTCCTGAGTTCAAGCTCTGGGACTGGCACCAAAAAAAAAAAAAAAAAAAGAAAAAAAAGAAAGAAAAAAAGAAAAGAAAAAAAACCCAATGCTTTCCTTGTTAGGAAAGAAAAAAGTAAGACCTCTCCCCATATACCTGTTTAGTCATAGAATCTTTCATGACATAATGCTCTTAAGTAAACTTATAATAATTCAAGCCAGGTATCTGGTATTGCAAGAAAGGCCCATTTGGTGAAATAGGTACTCAGGAAAATGTTTCTCTTTTTCTCAGCATTTTGAATGGCCATTCTAAGCTGAAGAGTACCATGGAGAAGACAGAGCAACCTGTAAAGGAAGCTGGACGGTTTAACTCATGAATTTCACATCTGTTTGACAGGAGCTTGGGCTTTGCACACAGATATGGCAGACTTCCTTTTACAGATATGGCATTCACAGTCAAGATCTAGAGGAAGCAAAACAGCTTAAACAGAATGGGGCCCACAACCCCCAAAGCTAAGTTAAATCTTGAAAGCCCCCTAAAAAGCTAGCAGCAGGCTAGGAGGGATCTCTGTGTGCTGACCTATTTCTTGTTTTCTATGGATCACAGAGCACGGTGGTGGGAGAGGTGTGTGTGGGGGGGGTGTTCTGTTTTCCTGGAGGAGCCTGAATGTAGTGGCTGTGACCTTTGGGATGACTTCAAAAAGACGCAGGGACTTAGATACCTAGAGCCATGCAGGAAAAGCTACTGGGGCTGAGTAATAGGCTGTCATGGTCACTGCTCGGTGTGTGTGTGTGTGTGTGTGTGTGTGCACGCGTGCACATGCACTTGCACTCTTGCTTAGCTGTTTTGCTTAAGGATGGCACTCTACTACTTAAGCCACAACTCCACTTCTGGTATTTTGCTGGTTAACTGGTTATTAGAGACTCAGAACTGACTTCAAACTGGGAGCCTCAAACCTCAGTCTCCTAAGTAGCTAGGATTACAGGTATGATCCACTGGCACCTGGTTAACCTTTGGTGTTTTGAGACAGGGTTTTGTTATGTAGCTTAGTCTGGCCTTAAACTGGAGATCTCTCTGCCTCAGCCTCCCAAATACTGGAATGGCAGGCACATACCACGTCACCTGCTGCTGCCCCATGATTTTGAAGAGCATCATCTCTGCTTTAAGACAACATCTTCAAAAAGGAACTCAAAGTAAAGATGGCGTTTTGCTAGATGCATTTTGAGGGCTGTCTACTTGCTCTCATGGGAGAGGCAGTCACTGTACGTACATTCTCTAATGAATCGTCAGCTTTAGCCATATACATTTTTTTTTTTTGTCAGTAGTGGGGCCTGAACTCTGAGCCTGGGCCCTGTCCCTCAGCTCTTCAGCTCAAGGCTAGTGCTCTACCACTTGAGCCACAACACCACTTCCGGCTTTTTCTGCTTATGTGGCGCTGAGGAATCGAACCCAGGGCCTCATGCATGCAAGGCAAACACTCTACCACTGAGCCACCTTCCCAGCCCCAGCAACATGCATTTTTTCCCTTGGCTTTTCTCAAACCTTTTCCCTGGGCTCTCCCTGTAGCGCTTCTGAACAGTTTTGCTTGCTTCCTATCTCACTCCTACCACATCCTTCTGCCTTCACCTGAACATGCAAACGCCATGCTGGTTGTCCAGACCTTCCACTGCTATTATTCTGGCAGTAGAAGGGAATGAATTCTTTTTTTAAAAAATTTAATGAATTTTTTGTGCCATGTCTGGGACTTGAACTCAGGTACCTCACACTCTTGCTTGACCTCTTCAGGACTGAGGCTCTACTACTTGATCTATGACTCCACTTCCAAGGGCAGTGAGTTCTTCAGCGGCTCTTCCTATCCACTGTAGGACATGTAGACATAGCTCTCTTCCCTCCTGTCCGTACTATTCACTCAGCAGTCCTATAAACCGTGCCTTGGCAGCCAGATGGGTGAGGGAGTCACGAAATAGGGTAGAAGACTTGGCATTATTGTCATACTGAGTGAACAAGCCCTTTTCTTACTCCGAGTCCCAATTTTATAACTCAGGAAATGGAAATGAAGAGCGATAGCCTAGAGGATAAAGTCTTGTACACTGTTGTTCATTCCACAAACATCCTCTACCCACAATGCAACATGCTTGTCCTCAGAGAGTTAATCATGGGCTGTGCATCCCTAGCAAGCATGAAAAAAGTTCACCATCATAGATTCACCACCTAAATACATTCTCATGGTCTTCAATTCATATGTTCGCTCATAAATGCTGGGCTTCTTGACTCAGCCTATAGTTCAGGTTTGTTTATCTTACTTTTGTTTTTTTGGTCCGGTCATGGGGCCTGAACTCTGAGCCTGGGCGTTGTCCCTCAGCTCTTCAGCTCAAGGCAAGCGCTCTACCACTGAGCCACCTTCCCAGCCCTCTTACTTTATTTTTTAATGACAGTACTGGGATTGGAATTCAGGTCCTAATACTCTCACTTGGTTTTTTTGCTTGCTGCTCTACCACTTGAGCCACATCTCTACCTTCAGCTTTTTGGTGGTAAATTTGAAATAAGAGTCTCATGGACGTTTTTACCTAAGCTGGCTTTGAACTATAATCTTCAGATCTCACCTTCCTGAGTAGCTGGATCACAGGCATGAATCACCAGTGCCCAGTTTGTATTTCAGGTTTATTTATCTCTGTTGCTGGGTAGTGAGGATTAGAAAGTCTGAGATCAGAGGGGTATGGAAGCCTCCTATCTTGTCTGAGGACTAGTGCTGGATCACAGACAGAGACGCCTTCAGCAAAGCTCTTGGTCATAAATCTCACCCTTATAGCTACTCAGGGTGTTAGGTTTGTTTACTCTGTGGTCAGACCCTCTAATCACATTGGCTACATTTTAGTTGTGATTGTCTTACTAAAATTGGTAGTAGCCACTAGTAGGTTCATCATTGGGTGCAATCCTTCTAGATCATTTCTGCACACCTTAGCTGCTTGCTTTACTGGGGAAAGGGAACTTCGGCTCTGAGGAGGAGGATGACAAACTCTGTAAAAGGAAACACACCCTCCCTCTGATTTCTTTCTTCTTTGGCTTGTTTTACATTTCTGGTTCCAATCAACTGTGTGACCTGCAAGCTGCATGGTACTTTGGACCCTCAGAAAGTAGAATTGATGAAAATTTTAGGAAAATATTGAAATAAGGCCCAAAGCAGGGATAAAATACGTTAGGCTGTCCCTGTGGGAATGTTTAATTGTGTGTGTGTGTGTATGTGCGTGTGTGTGTGTGTGTGTGTGTGTGTGCTAGTTCTGGGTCTTGAACTCAGAGCCTTAACATTGTCCCTTAGCTTTTTCATTCAAGGCTGGTGCTCTGCCACTTGAGCCATCCACTCCTGGATTTCTGTTGCTTCATTGGAGGTAAGAGTCTCACAAACATTTTTGCCTGGGCTAGCTCTGTATTGCGATCCTCATCTTTCAGCCTCCTGAGTAGCTAGGATTTGCAGGCATGAGCCACCAGTGCTCTGTGATAAATTCTGACAATTGGTCTCTCATGCACACCCGGTTCCAGCAAAGAAAACATCAACTCTATGCTGGATGCACCTAGTACTGCCCCTTGTCCCTGGGAGAGGCTCACATGACCATGAAAAATATTACTCTCCTCATGTATTCTCTCTGTGGGATCAAAAAGTAGGAAAAGCCACTATTATCTCTGTGGGGGTAGATCATAGTGTTTTTAA